GACGCCGGATGGCCGACCCCTTATTTTTCCTTCCGCGTTGACTTGTACAGGCGCATCATGCAAATGTACCATAGGCAGTGAGTGTGCGCCAGAGCTCTGTGGGGTACTAGCAGTGAGAGAGAGAGCGCTTTCCAGTAGGTTGGTTGGTAGGTTATGACAAAAAACAAAACAAACAAACAAAAAACAAAACAAAACAAAAAACCAGGGAGAGGATTAGAGTTCCAAAGGTGTAAACTGAGGTCAAAAGCTCTAAGCAACCTGGCTGTGGGGTGAGGTGAAGGGCCAGAGAAGATTTTAGTGTGTATTCTGGTCCTAGCCCTGACTTTCCGCAAAGCCTCGCCCTGTGCTCCCTGCTGTACCCATTTCCCGGCGGCAGTCCAGACCCTGAGATCCACCAACTACGCCCGAATTCGCTCCCAGGCCAAGCGGCCTGCGGAGATCCGGGCCGGGTATGGGATTTGGTTGGGGACCCCTTACCCCAGGAGCTCACCCCACCCAGGAGCGCACCAAGTTCCTGGTGCTCTTTTAATAGGGAGAAACAGTAACAGACCCCATCATCGGATAAACTACGTTTACAATTCCGGACTTGTCTTTGAACCCTTTCAAACAAAACGCCCAGCGATTTCTTTTTTTCGTTTTTGGTGAGGAGGAAAAATGCCTGGACTCTAAGAAGCTGCAAATTTTCTAAGGATTAAAAAGCCACTGCGAAGATAGTAAATTACCCTGCAGCCCGCAGTTGTTTTTGATTATTTACGTTGCAATTGGTTTGCGAACCGGAGAAGCACGGAGTTCGTCAAAATCGTTTTTTCAAGGTGTAAAGGTAAAGTTGACACAAGTAATTTCTTTATTTTAATCTTATTAGTGGTACAACACCTGTCAACTATACCTGTCTCTGCAAAGCCTTTAAGACATAAACAAAATACCTCAGTATGTCAAATGAAGAAGCGAATTTATCAATCACTATGGCTAATTAGCTTCCAAAACATTTTTGTCTATTGGAGAAAGTTCTTTGCTTTTAGTAAAACTTGATCTGCAAATAGATATTAGATATTATTAAAATAATTCTGTCTATAATAAATGTACAATTGTTTAACAGTGGGTTACAGTCTAAATTTTACC